CTCCTTCAGGCCTCAATAGTGCAGGTATTGACTGCTAACCAGAAGGCTGGCAGTTCATACCCATTAGCCACTCCTTGGAAGAAAGATTGGCCAATCTATTTCCATAGAGATACAACCTCGGAAACCCAAGAAGAGGTTGCTGTGAGTCAGAAAATTACTCCATGGCAGTGAGTTTGATTTTTTTTTTTTTTTTTTTTTTTATGGTCAGTGACTGCAACATCCTAATGGTCTCAAACCCCATCTTGTTTAGCTGTGCTTTTAAGAAACTGCCAGCTATTCCCTTCTCCCTCCCTGTCACGTTTTGATCACCTCCTTCCTATTAGGGATTATCCTGTCCTTCAGCTGTTGTTGTTATGTGCCATCGAGTCAGACCGACTCATAACGACCCCTCCTTGGGTTTCCGAGGTGGTATTACTATGAAAGTAGATTGCCCAGCCTTCCTTCGGAGGAGTGGCTGGTGGTTCCCCAGGCAATTAAAGCCTACCGGCAGTGCTTTATCAAAGCAAATACAGGTGGTTCAGAAAGCTTTGCCCAAGACCCCCTCCCGAGTGGCCTGGCGCCACTGAGTCTGAAAATGTAGCTTTCCAGTCCTGGTCAGGTTGACTCCATCCCCAATGCCCTAGACTCAAGTATAAATATTTCCAAAAGATGGATGGGTTTTTGCTGGTATTCTTGGACCCATTCCAGACTGGCCGCTTGCTGGATCAGAAACTGCTAACAAGTTGTGTAAGCCTTTGTCTGTCTTTTTTGCCTATCTATTACTTTGTAAGCTCTAACTCACTCTCTCTGTCTCTCTGTCTCTCTCTCTCTCTCTCTTTTCCCCTCTTATTCTTAGTAAAGCTTATGCCAGTAACGGGACCTCCTGACAGATTCTCTGGTTTCTCCAAATCCATCCAAAGAGAAATTTCAAATCCTCTGGGAAATTCCCAGGACAGCAGGTTACACACTATTTTTAGAAGAGAGTTCTTTGGACTTCATCCCAAAACAAAAACAACTGCAGCCAACTGCCCTGAATAAGGGAAGACAGAGGGACCTGACTTGTCAGCTATTCCAAATTCAGTTCTTGAACTACTCTGATGACTATTCCCAGATCCTCCTCCTCTGTATTTGGTTGAGTTTGACCTAAGAGATTCTCAGGAGTTCCTTTTGGAAGAACCTTACATCTCTTGTCTACTGATGACACTCTTATTATTTTCCAGGACTCTCTCTTCTTTTTTTTATTTGGTGCAACTCTCACTATAAGGCCTTATTTTTTTTTT